ATCGTAATGCCCAGCGTGGTAGCTGCTCTCCGCCGCTGGAACGCCGCTGACCGCTGCTTCTGAGGGGCACCCAGGAATTCATCGTTCTTGCTGTGCCCAAGAAGCTCCGGTTGGACGTTCGCGGCAGAGAGGTCATGCCGTGTTCTCTCGGCAAAGTTCCGGTAAGGACTCCGCGAGCCGGTGCAGCGCTGAGGGCCCAAGGCGCCGTCCGCCCTCGCAAGGACATCTCGAGTTGGGACGTACACGGAAAGGTAAATTGGAAAGGTGACCCACGTCAAGGGTGCTGAGTGCAAGCCCCCGCCCGTCCCGCACCCCTCCCCACGCGCCCTCCTCCGGCTGGCGCCCTCCCGGGAACCCTGTGTGGCCCTCAGGGCGGCAGGAGGAGGGGTGTGTGGGACAGAAGGAGATCTCCAAGAGGAAGAGGGCCAGTTGTAGAGAGTATGCAGAGCATGTGGCCTGCAGGGGCGTAGGGGGAAGAGGAGGAGGGGAGACCATCTGGGAGGGGACGGGGAGGGGGGAGACCCCTGGGGGGCGGGGGGGAAGAGGAGGGACTTGCGAGGAGCCACAGGAAGGCCTTGGGAGGATGATTTTAGGGCCTTCTGAGCCAGTGGACCCCTGGGACACGTTCGGGAGAAGGGACACTGTCTGGGAAGGGGCTCGAGCCCACACCCAGGCACGTGTCCCCCTTGCACGCCTTCCCGGGAGGACAGTTTGGAGTCAGGCCAGGGCAGTTGAGTCAGGCCAGGGCAGGCCAGGGCATCAAACACTTGATGGCATTGGGCAAACCCTGCGTGACGCGTCTGCTTTTAAAGACAGGAACACTCGGTCTGTTGACAACAGTGCCCGGCTTGGCCTCTGCCGCACCTGCCCCTTTGCGCCCTGTGCAGACCCCACGCCGCAGCCCCTCGGACTCTCCGTCTGGGCCGCCTCGGTGGCCTGCTCTCTCTCCCTCCCGTCCTCCCTGCCTCTTGTTGCTTTCTGCCTAGAATTGTTCTTTGTCTCCATCCTTAGGGCTCAGCGGAAGCCCCACTTCCTCAGGGAGGCCCGCTGTGGTGCTCCCACCACTCCGCTGTGGAGTAGGGCCCCAGAGCACCCCCCGTGCCCGCCACGACGCTCCTAACTGCTCGCGCTCACTACGCATTTTCTGACTGCCTGTCCCTGCAGATTCCGAGCTCCGAGAGGACAGGGCCCCATCTGTCTCATTCCCTCTCGGTCCCCAGTGCTTCGTAGAGGGTGCGGCGCATCGTAGGCGCGTCGACTTCTTCTGTGCTTCGGGGGCTGGCCCAGCCCCTTCTAACGGACACTTTCTTAAAGTGCGTTTGCCCGTCGAGGTCTGTGGGTCCTCTCTGGGGAGTGACAGTGGTGGCTTCAGGTCTCTGCATATCTCTGCTTTGATGATGATGATGATGATGATGGTGATGATATTTTTAGTAATGACAGTAATACCAGTAATTATAACGGAAAGTGCAACCACCTGTAGAGCCCCTTCTGGGCTCCAGGGGCCGTGTCCGGGGGCGTTTTGTAAGCATTCCTGTATTTGATGCTCACCGTGTGCCGACGAAGTAGGTGTCATTGTCTCGAGATTCAGAGAAACAAAAGAGCCTATGCAAAGGTGAGCTACGCGAAATCGCTTTGAGTCCAAGTCCGCCTGGCTTTAACACTGGAGCCAGGGGGCGCCTGGACAGCTCAGTCGGTTAAGCGTCTGACTTGGGCTCAGGTCATGATCTCGTGTTTTGTGAGTTCGAGCCCCGCGTCGGGCTCTGTGCTGACAGCTCAGGGCCTGGAGCCGGCTTCAGATTCTGTGTCTCCCTCTCTCTCTCTGTCCCTAGCCGCCCCCCTGCCATGCTCTATCTTTCTCTGTCTCTGAAAAATGAATAAACCTTGAAAAAAATTTTTAAAAAACCCTAAAACTGGAGCCAATACGTGATGATCTTAGAACGTAACTACCAGAGAGCAATCTGGATTCCCTTTATGCAGGATCCTAGGGGGTGGGGTTGTGCTGCTGGAGCACGGATGGTGTGCTGGCCGCCAGCTGAGGTTCCCACTTGCTGAGAGAATGACAGAGGTCTTCCTGGTCCAGGGAACACATGCAGACTCTTAGCTCTCGTGTGCCACAGCTTCAGAACGTTCGTTAGATCCCAGGGTGGCACCCAGAACAGGCTGATACTTGGCGATGTTGTGTTATTTTCAGTGTTAACTAATTAGAGCATCTCAAACTTCTCTTGTACTTATTTTAAGCCTTAAAACAACCGTGCCTGCCAAAAGCCTGCTTATCTTGGTAAAAGCACCGAACTACAAATAGATGGCTATTAAGAGCGACTGCTGTAAGCACCGAGACCATAGCCTCTGGGGACGGCAGATCTCAGCATGGGGTCAGCTTCCTCGGGGTGTTTGGAGGGTCTGGCTGCTGCTGGTGTCATTCCCCGATCACGTCTCGATGCCCCTGCCCAGGGAGACAGCTGGGTGCAAAACAGCCCACCGATGCCCAAGTCCGGGGCGTGGGGCCTGGCAAGCGAAAGGCCCCCAGCTCGCGAATTAGGCTTGCTTTGTAACGTTGTCTAATGAAAGGTAATTACCCTGACAGTACACTGTCCTTATGAAAAGTCATTTTGAGGTTATTTTATCCAGAGCTGCAGCCGTAAGTTGAGTTCCTAACTTTCCTGGCAGGGAAGGGGGTGGAGTTTGGCTACACAAGCCAAGGGGCTGGACCTTCAGGCAGGCCTGGGCTGGGGTCGCCGGGTGACCTAGGGCGGTCTTGAAAATAGAAATTGTGTTTTCTGGCCCGCTGTTTCACTCTTCCTGAGGTGCACGTAAAGGCCGAAAGGGAGACCAAGCCCTGCGTTGGCCACACGGCCAGATTCCACGCGTGTCCGCCAGCCTGCCTCAGCATGCCCCGCCCCTCCAGCCCAGGCCCCGCCCCCCCAGCCCAGCCCAGGCTATAAACTCTCCTCTGTCTGCCCACACCTCCTTCCCCTCACTTATCTTCTCAGACCAGCTCACCATTTGCTGATCTCCTTGTCTGTGTTTACATATGACAAGGCTAGGAGGCGCCACAGCCTTCTGGGCTTTGTGTTATGAGCCCGCCTGGTCCCCGGCCCGCCCGGGATAGTGATGTTCATCTACGGAGGGTCAGATGTCAGCATGAAGGAGATACCTGTCCCGGAGGCCCCGCTGAAGAGGACCCTTCTTTTCTGAGGGGGGCCTGAGCCCCAGGATTCCGAAGGATGGGTTTCCATTTTCATTCCTTTGTGGAAGCAGATAGGCAGGAGGCCACTGGCGGGAGGCTGCTTCGGTGAAGAACTCAGGGGAGAGCGTGAGGCCACGTCCACGGGCGCAGGGTAAGAAAGTCTGAGTCTACAGCTCTTCACGGGCTGAGAAAGGAGTAGTGGGGGTTCCCACAGGCCCCTCCCACCGCAGCGGCTTCCCACCCCCGGCTCTCTGTGGTTCACAACCCGGGAGATTTTTCTACACGGGTGTTTTTGGTGGGATGCACCCTCACCCCTCAGGCTTGCCACCTGCTCACTGATGGGTGTGCTTTGGTGGCACGAGGTCTCTGGCTGGCCAGTGCCGCAAACGCCCCTCGTGCCACGGACACCAGGCGGGAACAAGCACAAAGGTTTCCGCTGCCCGACTTCGTGGTCCTGTAATTTCCTCAGATCGTGTTTCCTGCTTCGAAGGATCAAGTGGAAAAGGCGTGGGATTTGGTGTGAGATCTGGGCTCAAATCCTAGCTCCCGCTGCTGGGATTACCAACAACCTGCCTCACCTCCCCTAGTAAATGACGATGGGACCCAAAGCTACAAGGGCCAGTGGGCCCAAGCATCATGTCCCCTCCGGGGAAAAAATCATCCCCCTGTGTACTTTTAGCCGCAGAAAATCTCCATTAAAGCCCCGCAATTCGAACCCGCTGGGAGGTTCTCCCATCCGTCCTGCCTTCCCGCCTGCGGAGAGGCTCCTCACGCTGTGTGTGCCGTGGGCACCTGTACATTCAGACCTCGTGACTTATAGTGTTGTATACGCTTCTTTCTGTGTACTTTTAAAAATTGATATATCGTTCATGTATGTGTGCTCGGGAGAGTAGATCACCTCATAAAACCATACGGCCTCTCAACTAGGTGAGACCCTAATGCTGTTCTAGACCAACAACGCTCATTTCCAAGTGAAGAAACACGGCGAGAAGCTCTACGATCTGGTCGAGGGCAGAGTCGTGAACTGAATCTGCTCAGTGCTTTCTGCTTCTTATACTTTTTACGGCAAAAACAGGGTAGAAAGCACCCCTCGCCAGTAGCCTCTGACACCGTCATAGCACCCGCCACACCACTAAATGTTTTCCCTGCTTTCGCCACGCAGAGGCGTTGATGTGGGTAAGGCCACCCCGGGGATCTGCTGGGGTCTCCAGCCCAGTAGCACGTGCTCCCTTCAGTTAAAAGCAAGAACAGTGTTCCCATAAAGTCTGGTCATACGGTGAGACTAGACTGATCATGGGCTGCGTTCAGTTCAGCCTGACGGGAAGGTAGCGTGTTATATCTCAAGATTTGCTTAGGTGAGCATCCCGCTCATTACGTATTCGTTTTGGTGATGGAATTTAAGCTGCCACTTTTTCATTCAAAAGACATCATTTTTTTTTTTTATTAAAGAAAAGTCTGGAAATCTTTGAGGACTGGTGTGCATCTCAGAAATGGTTTTCTTCACCTTCACGGCTGCACCAAACGGGCTTGAGCCCCCTGCCGCCACCTGGTGGCAGAACTGGCCTCTGCATCCACTCCGGCATCTACCTTGAGCCTGTTGTGGGCCAGCTGGGGCTCGGTGACAGGGACAGGGGTGAACAGACAAGGTGCCGCCTCGCACGGGGCCCGCCTTCCAGTTTGTCATTTCAGCAGGACATCAATCTCTCCAGAGCGAAATTGTGTGACCTCAGTGTAGATAGACACTGTCACGACAAGCCCCGGTCTGATGACAACGGACAAACTAACACACCGGTCTGCTGGTTTCACTTTCCAGGAATCAGCGGCGGCCCCTTGGAAAACCACTACAGGCTAAAGCAGTTCCACTTCCATTGGGGAGCAGTGGACACGTGGGGCTCGGAGCACACGGTGGATGACCGCGCGTACCCAGCAGAGGTTCGTAGACGCTATCCTAGCACCAAAGACGTGGGTGCTTTCCACTTGCCAGGCTCACTTGTAGGGCAGCAGACCAGCCTGGCTGCCCAGAGAAAGGATTCCCGGGGCACGGGACTCCCCGCGCTCACGCTGGACCAGGCCATCCTGCCCGTCCCACCCACACGGCTATCCTGGGGTGAGGGTACTATTCATACTGTCCTCTAACAGAAGGAGAGACAGGGGTGCTGAGCGGCCACGTGACTTGCCAAATCAGCCAGCTGGGATTCAACAACAGAGTCTGTGCCCTTAGCCCGGCATGCAGCCACGTCCGCGCTGCTGGTCGATCGTGGACTAGAAGCTTCCTGTCTCTCAAGGCATTCGGGGCCTCTCCTGAGACCTGAAAATCTTCACGACAGAAATCACCTTCTTGAAACAACGAGACATTTGCAACATCCCCAGATGGGAATCCGTAAAGAAAACGAGTAAGGATAAATGTTAGGAATTGGTTTTCGCAGGTACGGAGGGACGGCAAGCGGTGCCTTTTTGACTGTCCCCAATATTTCGTCACGAAATTTTTCCAACGGTGACTGGCAGGTCGGCACAGGGAGAGCCCGCGAGGTTGCCGCCCAGATCCTACCGCGAGCGTTTTGCCCACATTCGCTTCATCACATGTCCGTCCGCCCACAAACCACCTGACTTCCTGATGCATCTCAGGTCAGGGGCTGTTTTTGTGTTAACTTTTCGCTGCCATCACAGTGGAGGTAATGCTGTTGCTCAAACAGGCCTGGGATCCAGTCAAAGTAAAACATGAAACCCACCTGTGATCCCAGCCCCAGAGGTGACCTCCAGGGACGGTTTATGAACAGGAAGTTACATCTCTGGTTGTAAGTAGACACAACTTGACAAATAACACAGACACGAAGGAGCGGGGCCGGTTCCGTGCTTTTTACGCAGCAAAGCCTTCTATCTCGGGAACTGTGTCTGCACGTGGTTTTTTTTTTTTTTTTTTTTAAATTTTTTTTTTTCAACGTTTGTTTATTTTTGGAACAGAGAGAGACAGAGCATGAACGGGGGAGGGGCAGAGAGAGAGGGAGACACAGAATCGGAAACAGGCTCCAGGCTCCGAGCCGTCAGCCCAGAGCCCGACGCGGGGCTCGAACTCACGGACTGCGAGATCGTGACCCGGCTGAAGTCGGACGCTTAACCGACTGCGCCACGCAGGCGCCCCTGCACGTGGTTTTTAATGATCAGCTGACTTAACGGAAGAGGCTGTTGCACAGAAGCAAGAGCAGAGCCTGGGCCCGCCGGGGGCTTTCCCTGAACCGGCCGAGCAGGGGCTGCGGGGCCCGTCCCGGCCAGGCCTCCGGCCCACGTGGGAGCACCCGTCTCCCGTGGAGGTTTGGAAGACAAATCCAGTCACTGGGGGTCCCTGAAGGAAGCAGTTACAGTTGGGGCCTTGGGCCCAGTTGTCTTTATTTCTGGGAGACTGAACTGGGACAACAGGTGGGGGGGTTCCAGGTGAGCCATGGATGGGCGGGGAGAGCTCACACCGCCCTCGGTGGCCCCGGTGCCTGTGGCTGGGAGCACTGGGGTTAGGTGGGAGTGAGGGGCCGCCTGGAGCATATGTGGACCCCACACCCTCCACCAGGTGCCCCCAGGCCTGGACTCCAGTGGCTGCGTGAGGAGGGGCTAGTTGACCACGAGAGGCTGGAGGGCTTGCTGGAGTCTGTTGGTGTGGACTTGGTGCTCGGGTCACCGTTCAGAAAGGCCCCCAGCACACCAGGAAATACGTGCCCACGGCCAAGCCCCCTCTTGGGTCTGGGCCAAGCTCAGCATCGGCAGGGCCACAAGCTCTCATCACACGGAAGCCTGGCCAGGCCCCGGCACCCTGCCTCCCGCTGGCCAGCGACCCAGGAAAGCATCTGTCCCGGACTCGTCCTCTGCCCCTCATTGAAAGCCTTGTCAGTTGGCCGGTCTTGATGGCGAAATTGGACTCGGGAAAACCCAGGGAGGGATGTGAAGTAAGGGCATAGACGAAGTTCAAGGGAGGTGACAGACGTAGGAAGAAAATGCAATTGGGACCACACGCTGACATTAAAAATTGTTCGCCGTTCATCTGAAATCCAGATTTCACCGAGCGTCCCGGCAACAGGCAGCCGTCCCGGCACCGATTCCTATGTTACACCGTTCACATCGGCCTCACTGGGTGGTTTGCCCCGAGTTCGGGAGCTGCGGGCGGCGGGCCTGACTCTGCGGAACGGACACGCGGGCTGCCCCGGGGAGGCCACGGCCGCCTCGTGTGAACGTGCGTCCTTTCTCCTGGGTTTCAGCTGCACCTGGTTCACTGGGATGCTGCGAAATACCGAAGTTACAAAGAAGCTGTGCTGGGGGAGAGCGGCCTGGCCGTGATAGGCGTGTTCCTACAGGTAATGCTGGGGCGCGGCTCCCCTGGCGGGGCGGGTGCGCGGTGGCCGGGAGCTGCCTTTGAAACCCTGTCCGTGGAGAGTGCGGTGTGGCCCCCCTCCCGCCTGCTGCCTCTTCAAAGGAGCCTTTCTCGTCTGCGCCCTGCAGCTGGGGGCCCACCGTGAGCCACTGCAGAAGTTGGTGGAAGTCTTGCCAGAAGTCAAGCATAAGGTAGGCCACGCAGCCTGAAACCAGCAGCTCCAGAGAACCGAATTGGCTTAAGTAACGATCGTTTGCGGGAATTAAAGGCCACTTTGGCAGAAGGGGGTGGCGGGGCTGGGGGAGGTCTGAGTCCACTTCTGGGAATGGGACTCGCTGGGGCTGATGCCCGCGTCCACGGGGACGTCCACGGGGACGTCCACGGGGCCCTGCTCCCCGTGGGCCCCTCCCTCCTCCGTACCACGGGGGTGCCGGACTCCCATCTGAGCTTCCCAAAATTCAGGGTTTTGCCATGTTCACCTGCCACGGGCACTATTTGTTACTTAGTATTTTTCCTTACCCTGTCATTTTTTAAAAATCTTTAGCCTTGTCCGAGGCCATGGCATCTACCAGGGATAACATTTGTTTTAAACCGACTGAAATAAATGCCTAACCATTCACATTTAAGAGCGTCCATTCGCGGGCCACCCGGCACACTCCTGGGGGGAAACTTAGCACCACCCCATCCCAGCAGAACGGGGACGCCGGGGGACCGGGGGGAGTCTCGCCAGCTCGCCTGCTCGGCCCCCCCAGCTCCCTGCGTGCACCTTGCTGCACTAAAGCTCAAAAGACAATGGCAACATTGCAGCTTTTCTCCAACAACAGCTGTGAAAGGACTTTGATGGAGGGGTGGAAATTCCAAAGAAATGTAGTTTATTTGTTCAGGTACCAAACAAAAGAATTCCGCGACCCGAGGAGTCACGGTGGTCCCTGGACAGATGGGCTCCGACCCGTGGTAACAATGACAAGAGCGGCTCCAGATGAAAGCTGGGGGCCAGCCCTTCCTCGCCGGGTTCACGGGGTCTGTGCGCTCCCCCTTGATGTTGACCTCTGGGCCGGCCTCCTGGGGCCACGACCAGATCACCCCCCGCTGCCTCATCCTGCAGCTCAGGAACTCCGCAAGGTCAAGGTGCTGGGAGCATCGTCTTTCCCGCTGGTCTGCAGCCAGAGTAAACCCAGGAGGTCTTCCGCGTGCACGCCCCCCTCCCACACGGCGTGGCCTCCACCTCTTGGTGGGAAAGAGAGGACCTGGCTGGGAGGTGCTGTTTATGCCGGGGTCTGTTCCCTTCCACGGAAGCCCTGGAGCGCGTCTCCCCGCGGGCCGACCCAGCGCCTGGTGGGCAAGTCTCACGGGAGATGTGGCGTCGGCAGGGGCCTCACCCGTGGGCCTGACGCTCCCCCTGGGCTTTGGTTCCTCCCCTGGGAAATAAGAGTGAGGGTCTAGGGGACAAAAAGCCTGTAGAGCGGGAGTGTGTGTCTCGTGGAGCAGTGAGGGTAACCCCGCCAGACTCCGTGGCCCCGCCTGCAGCCCACGCTGGGGGCCACCAACGTCTGGAGCCACTCTTTACATCTGCAGCCTCGGACGCCACCTCTGTGGTGTGCACCCTTTGGGCTTTGACACATGCACGGTCATGGGTCCTCCCGAAGTTTCAATTAGCAAGGAACAGCGGTGGGCGCACGAGCCGCGGCCCCCCGCCCCCCACTCCCGGGGTGGGACAGACTTGCTGCAGCGTCTGGGTTCTGCCACTCTTTACGTGGCTTTGGGAAAGTCACTTCCAACTGTCTTACTTTCTCCTTCGCTGAGGGAGCAGGAGCTCTCACAGGTGGTTCTGAAACTTGGCGGTAACAGCCTCGGCAGGTGTCCGGCCCGTCAGCACCCTTGGGCGCCTCAGGTCTTGAGGACACAACGCTGAGCGGGAACCTGGTCACAAAGGCGACACAGAATAGGATTCTTTGTAGGAAACGTCCAGAACAGGCAAATCCGTGGAGACAGAAGGCAGATTTGTGGCGGGGGGTGAGGGGAGTTTAGGGTGCGTGATCGCTAAAGAGCATCTACTGGGGCTCTTTGTTTCCTGGGGTCCTTTCTGAGGTGCGGAGAATGTTCTAAAGCTGACCAGTAATGGCCGCAGGTCACGATCGTGAATATACAGAACGCCAGAGCCCTGGGAGCTGTCAACGTGTGGGTTCCGGGCTCTGTGAACTGTATTTCAAATCCACTTTCTTTTTTTAAGTTTTATCTATTTATTTTGAGAGAGGCGGGGAGAGAGAATCCCAAGCAGGCTCCACCCCGTCAGCGCAGAGCCCGACCGAGGGCTCGCACTCACGAACCGTGAGACTGTGACGTGAACCGAAATCAAGAGTCTGATGCTGACCCCACGGAGCCCCCCAGGTGCCCCGCTGCTGCTGTTCCTTACGCGTTAACTAGACTGCTGCTTGCACAGTGCACAGCCAGCACAGCCGGACGGTGCTAGCCGACAGCAGGGGTGAAGCAGCTCCCGTCCTCTCCTCCAACATCTTGCCTAAGGGCTCCGTGTCTGACTGGGGGGTCTGCAGTTAGGGTACAGTCGGGCCTCCTGGGCCCCAAGCGCCTGTGTCTGACAGCTGGGTGGCAGGGTCTGGACGAGCAGGGAGGTCTCCTTCCCCCGAGGCCGAGCGTGTGTCCTCCCCATGCCGGGAGACCCTCCCGCAGAGCCGGCCCGGAGCGGGGACCGCAGCAGAGCTGGGCACACTGGGTGCCGGTCAGTGCTGCGCTGCCCCCGGGCCTGCCCCGCCTCTGCAGAGCAGGGTGGGGGCGCTGTACTGGGCCTGCCAAGCCCAGGGACCCCGAGACATCCTATCTTCACCGAGCGACAGCCTGCTTGAGGGCCTCTGGCTGGGGAACCGAGAGGTTCTCCTTCGCACCTGCTCCCGACGCCGTGCCGAGCGGCATCCGGACCACAGCCTCGGTGCTCCCACCCCTGCTGGTGGATTTCTTCAGGGGGCCCAGCCCTGGGCGGAAGCAGGGGGGTCCCTGTCTGCAGGCTCCCTGCCCCCACCTCGTTCCTGATTTTGTTTCTTGCTTGCTCATTCCAGCGGGGAGGTGGGGGGCGTGAGTTCTGAACAGAGACTCCCGAGCCGGGGACGTGCCGACAGCATCCCCTCGGGCTGCCGCACAGGGAGCTCGGCGCATGGTGGTCGAGGACAGCTGTCCGGAGAAGGAGGGTCCTGGCGTGAGGGTCAGGGGACGCTGCCTCAAGGGGAAGACCGGGTGTCCCAGAAGGGTAGTATTTTCTGGTGCAGCCACTACGGGAAACAGCCTGGCGGTTCCTCAAGCAATTAAACGTGGAATTGGCGTGGGACCCAGTGTCTCTGCTTCTGACTACTTACCCCCAAATAAGTGCAAAGCAAGGTCTGGAAGAGGCGTCGGCACACCCGTGTTCTCAGCAGCACTTCTCACGGGAGCCGAGGGGCGGAAGCAACTCGGGTGTCCGTTTAGGGGGGCGAACGGGTAAGCAGAGCGTGGGCCGTGCACACAGTGGAATGTTCCTCTGCCTGAAAAGGGAGGGGCTCCTCACACCTGCTACAACGTGGGCGACCCCAGAGGACCCTGTGCTCCGTGACACCGGCCGTCACGCGGGACAGTCGCGGTGGGGTCCTCCTGACACGAGGCGTCCGTTCCCCGAGACAGAAAGAGGTGGGGGGGGGGCGGGGGGAGGGGGGCGAG